AACCATGAAGGGCCCGCTACTGACATGCTAGTTTATAGAGGCAACCCACCTGATAGTCTTATCTAAGCATACAAAACCTAACGCAAAGAAAAAGAAGAAGAATACATCACTTCACCATTAATTTGTGCAAAACCAGCCAATCTATCCGCCTGTTCATTTCCCAACACACCGGCATAACGTAGAGAGAGTATTCAAAGGATACTAACTACCCTGGACCTATGAAGTGATGCTTGCCACTCTGCACGGAGCATAGCTATCTCCACCCTTCTCAACATGCTCTGTGAGTCAGTGACAATCATGGCATATGTGCACAGCTGGTTCTCAAGCCAGCGGAAGGCAGCAGTGACTGCTTCCACTTCCATTCTCAAACTAGACGTTGTGATATCATATGTCAGGCTTTGCTGCTCTAAGCGACATCAATTGGCCTTTGCTATAAACCCCCATGCACTTCATCTGCCCCTCAACACAGAGCTATCTGTACAGATAATCACATCACTTTGGCGGAAATTGTCATGAATCATTTGTTGAACTTCTGATTCTGCAGCGCCAGCTGGCCAGTCCCGTTATTCAGGTTGATGTCGTCCAATGCATTACTTATATTAACACATGGTTATCACAGTACCCTCTCCCGAATCACCTAGTACATGGGTTCCAGACTGATTAACATTTTAGTCCTATTTTGTTCGAGTACCAGTTAATGAATGTTTGTAGTGATTTTTTTGCCTTTCTGTCCATTGCCACCATTATATGTTGAGGGGGTCTCCGTGGCGAAGGGGTCAAGCCTTTTGCCTCTCTCTGAAGGTCATGGATTAGTTTCATAAACTTGTCATTGAAATCACGTGTACAGTTTATATGGGAATCATCACTGGAGCTGTGGAGTTGGTGCTCTGTGCGACACTCTTGGCAGGCTGCTGGCCGTTCTGCACAGACAATGCATATGGCAGGGCTTTTCAGCTGAGTTTACTCAGGTGCCAAAACGTTTACAACAGGCATCGTCACAAGCCGGAGCCCCAAGCCCCAGCATAGAAAGATCATTAATACAATATAATTGGCAGTGATCTGTGGACCACTTGCTCGACCTCCACGGGCCTCTAGTTGAATAGCCCTGCCATGTGGGATAAAACCTGGTGAAGTGGAGTCGATCCTCTCAACTTTTAACCCTAACTAGCAATGCTAGCCCTATTTGTTGCTGGCACCGGTGATTCCGAATTACCATTTTAGTCCTTGTGCTGGCACCAGCTAATGAATGTTTGTATTGCCTCTTGCCTTTCTGTTCATTGCTACCATACAGCACTGAAGTGAGGTTTCTATGTGGAAATCACCCAGTAAAGTAAAAGCAAAGGATCATTTTCCACAACTTTAGGCATATTGGGTGTATAAGGCTAGACCTATATTTTATAGGCCAGTCAGTGGGTTTTAGGTCAACATCACGCCGGCCACCTTTACTTCCCAGGACTGTACCCTGTACCCATTTAAGGCTGGGTTGACCTGGAAGCCAAGTTACATTTGAAAAAAGTCCAGCTCCATCAGGACCTGAACGCATGACCTTTTGATTTGCAGGCAAGAGTCTAGCTGCTTCACCATGGCAGCTTTCCCAGGATGAAGTACTGAAAGATATTTTTGCTAATCCGTGTTTGTCTTCTTTTTCTTGTTCACTGGCTGTAAACACCAGCAAAAAGTTATGATTGTTCATCCACTTATGGACTTTAGTCTTGTTTCAGGGATTGAGTTTTGTGCGCACATCCATTTTACAAATCTAGTTTGTTTGTATGCAGTCTGTTGGGGTTTCTTGCCTCTCAAGCAGATGCACTCCACCTTCAAAGAAAACGCCTCTAAATAGAATAGTCAACTTTAATGACATGTTTGTGGTGGAGGGTGGGGTATATGTTCCACGTTCCTACTCTAAATGGAGCTCCAGAACCCACACAGGGAATACATGCATTTGACCTGTTTCTTTTCAGCTTTTAACCTGCCAACAGTCATTTTCTCATTTGTCCCTATTCCTTTCCTAATTTTCCATCTCCAGACCATGGCATCCTGTTTCCGTGAATCTACCTCAATACTTGAATCATTCATGTCCCACTTGCACATGTCTTTAAACAATGTTAGAAGCTGACCTTGACATCTTCTACACATTTGTGATTCACCAAAGAGGGTTTCCTTAGTACTGTACCATCCTCTGTCCTCCAAGTGTAACAGTCACCTGTTGTTTTGAAGACTGAGCATTGAGAAATCTTGTTGTGACACCAGCTCTTTCGTGTACCTCATTGTTTGTAATCTTATCTTGCCACTTAGTGCCAAGTATTCTTTGTGTGCATCAATCACATCTTAAAGCTATTTAGCCATTTCACCTGACATGAATAAACCAACCAAGTTTCACTACCATGAATCAAAGTGCTGAAAACCCACGCTTCATATTGATGAAAACCCAAGCTTCATATTGATGAAAACACAAGCTTAATATTGATGAAAACCCAAGCTTCATATTGAAGGGCTAGGGTTTTAGTATTTTTATTTTTATTTTGTGGTACCTTGTTTTTACGCCTGCAGTTTAGATTTCATGTTAGTTTCCTACTCTATGCAGCTTTTGAAGCACAGGATATGATGGGTCAACTCTTTATTGTCTGAGGGCTGCCTTGCTTGACTTCTGCTATCAGTGGCAGCATGAGGCCCCATCATCTGTGCCATTTCACCCATAACTACTACCTCTTGATTTGTTCCCAAGACTACCTAGGTGGGTTCCTGGGTCCCATTGTAGGGAAAACAAGAATATACCCACTGCCTCCACTGCAAGCATGTCATAAGAGTTGACATTGGTTCATCCTTCAAAGTTGGAGGACATCTGCCTGAGAGGCAAGGAACAAAAGTCTGCCCACAAATAAGCCAGATAGGTCTGTGAAATGGATGTGCATGCAACACTCAGGTTCTGGAACAAGACTAAAGTCTCTAGGTGGACAGACACTCAGGTTCTGGAACAAGACTAAAGTCTCTAGGTGGACAGACACTCAGGTTCTGGAACAAGACTAAAGTCTCTAGGTGGACAGACACTCAGGTTCTGGAACAAGACTAAAGTCTCTAGGTGGACAGACACTCAGAACTTTCCATCAAAGTTTACAACTGATGATCATAAAGAAGAAAAGGTTTCCAACACCAGTTAAGGCTAGGGATAAAGTTATATGGTAGCTCAGTCATATTTAATCAAGGCCTGTCAGTGTGCTGTATTTTTTTTTTATAACAGTTCATTCAGTACAGTTACATCTTCCTTGATTAACCTGTAGTGTATGTGGAATACCAGCCATCCATTACTAAGATCTGTTGGTTTTTTTCCTCAGTGGTTTTCATGCTTTGATTAAGTCATCGGCAAAAAATGATGGCAAGTTGTACAGTCCCTTGTGAATTTGGGTTAGTATTTTATCTTACCGCTTCAAAGTTTCTCTATTGTTACTTATCATGTAAAGCAGTGATGTTGAGCTGGCAGTTCTAGACAAAATAGTAATTAAAGATTAAAAAAAAAACAAGCGCACATGCAGTTCAGCAAATTTCTATGTCAGCTACTTTGAGGAAACACTGAATTGAAATTGTAGGAACTGAAGTTTTTGAATGTTTGATTTGAATGCATAAAGCTGGCATAATTTTTGTCAGTTGCCATTGAAGAATGTAGACATCATAGATGTGGCTCAGTTGTGTTTATAGTGCGTAAAGTAAGGAACAATTTCCACTCCATTGGCTTCATGGACATGGTGCTAGACCCAGAGGTTTTTTCTTGAGGTACGCAGGTGTTATATGTAAGTACTTCTGTAATATACAATTAGTAGTGAGTTCTAGCACCTTTTTTCTGGGGAAAAAAGCTCTGACTAGACCTGTTAACCTATATTTGTTTAGAATAGTCAGCACTAACAGGTAATGTGGTCAGCATCTTGTTGGTTGCCTTTACTTACCAAGTCTTTTTCTGGTATTATTTGTAGGCTTGAGGTTTGTTGTTAAGACTGTATAGTTAGGCTGTATGTCTATGATGTATGCCTGGATCATTTCCCACATTGGAGGATCTTCAGAAAGGATGTCACTGTTTTTTTTTGCTTTGGACAATTTTGATAGATGGTGAAAACTTTGTTGTTTCAGTCAATTTTTAGTTAAGTTGTTTGCTGTTCTGTGCATGGGGTTGTTGTTCATGCATTACAAATTTGTGTGTCAGGGTAAGCACCTTTTCTTCCCTTCAGAGGCTCAAGCTCTGGAGGCCAGAAGTTGCCTCCAGCTAATTGATTGGTGTGCTTCTCATACCTGCATTAATGATTCTGAGACCAGTGTTCTGTATTTTGTTCAGTTTGTGTAGGTTTGATCTGGCAGCAGTGGAGTATGCTCTTATGCCATACTCATTTTGGTAGTATGTATCCAGTGTATACTTGTCTTACAGTGTTAGCATCTGCACCCCAGCTTGTTCCAGTAAGTTTCTTCATAAGTCTGAGCCGCAGGATAGCTTTCCTTTGGTTGTCTTCAGTGTGGGTACCCCAGATTAGCCTTTTGTTGAATTTTACTCCCAGATATGTGGGGTTTTCCTCTTTTGGAAGGATATTGCCTTCTAGGTACAGATCAACTTGTTCTAGTTTTGTGGAAAGAGAGAGAGAGTTTAGACGGTTTTGGTCTGGTTGATTGTGACTCCCCAAGAGTCTGTACATTTCTTAACTTTGTTTAAAGCTTCCTGCATTCTCGTTTTAGTTGTTCCTTTATGTTTAGCTTGGGTCCATATGGCCAGGTCATGTGCATGTGGGACCTTGTGAATGTGAGTCGTGAGCTGTTTTTGGGAAGCGTTAAACACAACACTGACCTGATCCTTGATTCTGGTGATCGTGTGAGATGGTAAAACATGACAGCCAGCACTTAACAGCATGACATCTTATGGTGATGATAATTTGAATTCAGATTTCCTGTCAAACATCTGAGTAACGAGTTTGCACATATCAATATTGCATCCTAAATATCTTTGTTTTAATCATTGCAGAATCATGGACAAAATGCCAGATGAAATTCTCCTGAACATATTCTCCAAACTTCCACTGCCAGACCTGATATCTGGAGCTCGCCTGACCTGCTGGCGCTGGTACCACTTGTCAAAGGATTTATCCTTGTGGACCTCTTTAGATCTGTCAGCCTTCAGATGTTCTTATAATGAAACAGATGCCCGTACAATTTGTAGTGGCGTGCGGAATCTCTTGCACAGTATACAAGACAGCTTGGAAAGTCTTACATTCAGCACCATGACAGTTGATGGGGGCGTGTACGAACTCTTTGGCTCCTCCTGGAAGCACAAAAACAAAGCCAAGTTTTGTAATCTGAAATGTCTGGACTATTCATACAGTACAGTTTCACCTCGAAATCTCAGAGTAGCACTCACAACACATCCAGATATTGAGAGACTGTCTTTATCATACACCAAAATTTCTTTCTCACAAGTCATGGAGGAAGCTATTCATTTACCAAACTTGAAGATGCTCGTCTACCATGACTGTCAGTCCTGGGATTCTTACATGGTTCACCATCCAGATGAGGGTCGGTTTATCAATAAATTGAACGCCATGAAGGTTCCAAAACATTGTCCACTGTTGGAAGTTGTTGAACTGCACACAATCAGAGCAGACCTAGATGATGAAGTGATCAAACAATTTGCGTTGTTTTGTACAAACCTGAAAAAGTTATCCTTCACATGGTCAGCGAGCCTAACTGAAGATGCATTCCTTGCTTTCAAAAACCCTACTCAGCATATAACGGAACTTGGACTTCTTGACCGGCAGGAGACTGGGCCATACTTACACTATGTGCTTCCAAATTTCCCACACTTAAGACGCCTCACAATAAACGGGCAGAATGTTTATCTAGAGGACTGTGTGGCTATCGGGGAGTACTGCCCAAAACTGCAAGAACTGATATTTGAAATTAATGGATTGAAGCGAAGTGGCGGCATGTTTGAATATTATTTATGCAAAGGTAATTCATTATGTGGTCTGGAATTGGAGAAAATTGTGCAGAAATGTAAAGATCTGCAGAAACTTCATGCTCCATTCTCAAATATAGATGACGACAGTGTAATTTATCTTTCCGAGCAGTGCCTTTATCTGGAGGATGTAAACTTTACTCAGTGCCATCGCCTTACGCATGAATCATTGTTTGCTTTGTCGAAAAATGCCATGCGCTTGTGTAAAATAAATTTTCAGGACACGAATATTGATCATAAGTATATCCTCAGTTTGGTGTCCAAATGTCGTAGACTGGAGGAAGTGGTGTTTGATCACAAGCCTGTGCAGGATGTAAGTGAAGCTACCGCTTCTGTTAGTTCTTCTGTATATTCTGACGACTCCCAGTCACAAGTGGAGAACATTCATGAGAGTGATACCAGGCTGAGTTACAATGAAGATATTCCTTTTATTGACATGACATCAAGTTCGGAGGATTTTGAGCTGCAACATGTCCTGCTGAAAAACCTGTCTAAAGCAGATAGCGAAAACAGTAGTCAGGAGGAAAGCTTCTTGGAAAACACTTGCATTCCAGGATCAGCACCAGCATATTTAGAAGACTTTGAGCATTTTCAAATTCCTTGGAGTCATTGCCATTTAAAGAGATTATCATTTAAAAACTCCATTACCAAAGAACAGTACCTCCTTGACATCTTCACTCGTTGCCCAGATCTTACTTACATTTCTTTAGATGGCTCTGCAAGTCTCACAAACAGCCTCATTACAACCATTGCAAAGTCCTGCCCAAACCTGCAGACTTTGAATATTTCTTGCAGTGCAACTCAGGATTCAAAGCCAGCATTTGGTGATGAAGGCTTACTAGCATTAGTAAAATACTGTCGTAACCTTGAGTTCATAAGCTTTCTGTATAATCGTAACATTACCCCTGTTGGTCTCACTGCATTATTCCACTCTCTTGATGGGCCGTTACGATCTCTGGAAACCATCAGCTTGTGTGTCGGTCATGGATATGCTTGCTCGATTTCGGTAGTTGCTCTTCATGGGTTGAAACACCTAACAGAGCAATCAAAGAGGCAACTGAAAGATGTCGCTTCTACTGCTAGAAGTAATACTTACATGCTGCTGCATTTAGATTTTAACAAGAGGAAGTCAGTGAGGTAGAGATTTCAGCCTTCTGATCATGTTCGACTGTTTGCAAGCATAGTATCCTCATCATCATATGCCCTGCCCAGCGGTGTAAGTGCTGATGTCTCTCCAAAGATCTCCATCCTTGGTATTTTGAATCTGATGATATTCCACCATACCACCATGGCTTCAGGCTGTCGGGCATTGTCTCTTTTGGTTTGCCTCTGCCTCGTTTACCATTGATCTTTTCAGTCATCATGATGTTCTCCAATGCTTTTCTTTTCAAAATATGACCAAGTAACACTAGCTGCCTCTTTCTTATAGCGGTGTATGGTCTCTAATTGCATTAGCCATTTCTGGGCAGTCATTCTTAGTTTTTCTGTCCATCCACGTTATTCGCAGCATGTGTCTCAGAAAAATCTTCATGGCCTCTCAAATTCTTGTTCATTCGCACCCATACAGTTCACTAGTTCTTATGACATTCCAGTACTTGTTTTCCTTTGTTTTATTAGAAGGACCTGTTGCATACATTTTTTTCATCTTTTGAAATGCCACCAAGCAGTGTTTAATGTCATTATTCTCTTGCTGCTCCTCAGTAGCCAGCTGAAAATCTAATACTTTGTCTTTCTATCTTCTTTGTCATCTTATACTTCTTGAATTGGTTAAATATTTGCTTGTTTTGTTCTTTTCCTTGTGCATTAGTTTATTGGATATGGTATAACTACCTAGAATGTATGTCAGCTAAGCAAAAGAGACTTTAAAAGTACTTTCAGAAGACCTAAACAGAAATAAACCTCAGGAGAAATGTCATGATTAGCTGACTTTTGACCAAAGAGAATATATCGGAGCAAAAATGAAATGAGGTATTGAAGAAAGGCTGCACACACAAAAACCCAGAAGATATAGTACGAGAAATTCAAGATATTCGTAGAACTGTTAGAATACACATTGTTAAATTCGCCAAGAAACAAAGTCTGAAATAAGTCAACCACCTAATGAGATTGAATCCAATGATGCTGGCAGCATGAGCATACAGTAAGAAAATGAAAACACCATGAGACGGAGGCAGACCTCGTAGATTATGCGATCAAAGGAGTCACTGCCAGCATAAGACTTCACATCATTACAGTATGCCAGGCAACTGAGCACAACCTGGATCAGCTACCTAGTATATGTTAAATTGTGATGCCTAGTGGCACATAGAAGATATTGACAAAAGACAAAAAGTTTATGAACGCCGCACATGTTTTATCATAATTTAACTTCATAAAGGCACTGATTGGGTTTGGCATGAAAGATTTTGTGGCTTGTATTATATTGTAGTCAGTACATTTAAGATGTGAGTAGAGATCCAATTTTGTTTTGGACTTGTCCTAAACGGTATAATATGTTAATGTAAATACTTATATAAATACTTGCAGTAATATATGTTAAAACATAAATCAACTTATGTTAGAAAGGAGAGAATGTACAAACAGTAAATTTGTCTGTAACTGTGATTACTAGTTTTATTCACCATTCTCATTGGTTATATTTGGTTTGTATTGTTTTGTTAATTCTTTATTTGATCTTTACCTTTGTCTCCCCTTGTGTTTTTCCATTGCATACATACTAGCGTTAATATCCCTGTGTGGGTTCCTTTGGGTCGGGGGGGGGGGGGGATAATGCTGAAATCTAATATATCTGGGTACAATCATAACATCAGATGGAGAAGTTTGTTAGAAAATTGAGTGCAGAATAAGGCTGCCTTTTCACAGAATGAAAAATATCTTGTGCAATAGGTCCCTTTTTTGGATGTCCAAAAACAGAGTACTAAAATGTTATGTGGAACTTATATTGCTGTATGGAAGTGAACAATGGAATGTGAACGCACAAATGAGAAAGAACTTGGAGGTGACGGAGATGTTGTTTCTGAGATGAATGTTAAGAATCCCTTGGACTGCTCAAAAAACTAAGCAGGATTGCTTTAAAGAAGCTGATGGGAAAAAAAAAGATCAATATATACAGCAATAAGGAAAAGACAAGCACTTTTCTTTGGTCATATGATTTGGGGGGGGGGGGGGAGGCTTTGAAGAATATTGTGACTGGGAATATCAATGGTAGAAGAGGGAGAGGCAGAGACAGAGAGATGATGACTGATCGATTGCCACAGTGGCATGAAGAGATATCATCCATGGAACTGTTCCAGAGGATGTAGGACCGAGATATGTTGAGATGCATGAACACCTGCGCCAGTGGACAGGGCACGTGATGTTGATGATGATGAAATCTGAGGTGTTGGGCTGAAAGCACATATATCTCAAGCCAGCTGTCAACAACAACACAGTGTGCCAGCCATCCTTTTAAAGGTGAATGCAGAAGAAAAAGTTGGGTTTGTGTTAATGTTTATAAGATCCATGCTCCTCTTCAAAGAGTCACATCATTTTGCAAGGGATGAGTAATGTAAAGCTGGATCTGTAACATTTATAAACAAGATTGCAAGCTGAACTATTGGCCTGAGCCAAGATACATGTTCTCCTTTTAGTTTTCAGGGTCCCGTTGTGGGGAAGACAAGAACAGACCCACTGCCTCCACAAAAAAGCATGTTGTAAGAGTCGACTAATTGATGGGCTTCCTTTGAAGTCAGAGTGCATCTGCCTGAGAGGCAAGGAACCAAAAGCCTCATACAGATGAGTCAGATAAAAAAAAATGGATGTCGATGAACAACCAAAACTTTCGACCTGAGTTTACAGCTGTTAAAAAAGATACAAGTGGAAATGTCTTTAAATACATCCAAATTATGAAAATTTCCTGGGAAGTAAAGGCAGCCATATTGTCTGATTTCTTTAGTATGCTATGACTAAATTTAAGTATCCCCTAAGACACATAGAATGGTACATACTATGTTGTTTGGGATAGAGTTAACTGTGGTATTTATTGTTGTAACTTTTGCTTATGTAAACAGATTGGGCCATTTTGTGTAGAAGGGGCACATCAGCAGGGGAGTGAGAAATAAGGAAGAAATGATTGCAGAAAGGATGAGAGCTGAGTGTCTGAGAAGAAACAGACTAAACACAAATGTTGACAACAACGGCCCTGAAATCCCATGCCATAACCGTGGAAGATTTTTTTTTCCTTAACATGGGCAGGTCTTGCTAGTCATCGCCATGGGCTGTGAGGCTCCTACCCCACCTTTTAGCGCAATATAACACTATCGTCTTGAAAGAATGAAAGATGCCAATCAATCAGTCAAACATTTTGGTAGTTTTTTTTGTTTTGCTATTTCCTGTAATATTTTTTTAAATTTATTAAAATGATATTTTACAATTGATGTTCCTAAAAAACATGCGTCTACTTTTCTTCTTCTACCCTTTTTTCTCTAGTGGAGCATATACCCTTAGCCAACTCATGCCAGGTTGCCCTATCCTTTGCTGTTTTATGCAGCTCACCCCCATGTCTTTCCCATCTTTTTAATTCCCTTCTTTGTGTTTTTCAGTCTACCTTTATTTCTGTGTTCTTGTGAGTTCCAGTTTAAAGTCTTTCTAGTTATATTGTTCTCAGGTTTTTCTCAGTTTGTGTCCTATCTGACGCCAGCATCTTTTCCTCACCTCTTGATTCACTTGAATTTAATAAGTTCTCTTTCAGAGCTCATCATTAATGATTCTGCCATTAAATTCCCTCTATTCTGCACAGGCACCAGTTAATGAAGGTTTGTAGTTTATTAGTATCTCCTTTACTTCTACCGGGGATAGAATGGGCTGCAAATTATGGAATGTATTCTCAAATATATCATCTTCATCATCATCCTTTTGTGCTGTTTACAGATCACACAGGGCTCACATTCTAGTGCTCCATTTCCTTCTGTCCTGTGCAGTTCTTTGAAAATCATGTGGAATGTACTCTAGCACCGCTGGCCTCTCTCATTAACATTTGTCATTTCTTGTTTGGACATAATCTGTTTCCTATTTCAGTGTTTGTTTTGTAATTTTCCGTCTGCTTTGCCTAAGAATATGCCAGACATATTGCCATCTCTCTGTCTGTCTGTCTGTCTGTCTCTCTCTCTCTCTCTCTCTCTCTCTCTCTCTCTCTCTCTCTCTCTCTCAAACACTGTTGATACCACTGTCTGTTCAAACATTTTTAGGATTGTGTCTTTCTTGCATTATTTCCATTTAATGTTCTCAAATTTATAGATAAACTGATGATAGTAAATACAATAATGTGTACATAAATAGATGGCTGTCACAGAATGGGGTGACAGTTTCCAGAAATCTTGAGACATGTGTATTGAAAATTGTTACCAGAAGATTCTGAATAATCTGCCTGCCTGCTCCGTTTACCTGAAAGGTTTGGCTTTTCAGACAAATGCTTGTGAAATAACGATCTGTAAATCAATGGAAAGCACAGGGATCTACTGCTTATTTCTATACTGTTTAGAAAAAAAATGCATAGTTATCATATGGTGCAGGGAGTCACAGTGGTGTCGTGGCTAGATGCTCACCTGCGGATCTGAAGGTCGTGGGTATGAGTCCTGGCTGAGCCAGATTTTTTTAAAAATGACCTTATCTTCCAGGTTGACCCAGCCTTGAACTGGTACCAGGTGCTGTCCTAGAAAGTAAAGGCTGCCGGCGTGATGCTGACCACATCACCAACCAATTACCTGTTGGTCTATAAAATTTAGGTCTAGCCCTATATGCCCAATACATCTAAAGACGTCCTTGTCCAATAAGGACCGTCATGAGGAAAAACTAAAAAATCACTCTCATTAAACATTAGAAAACAGGTTCTGAAATGTTACATGAGCCTGTTCTGTTGTATCTTGGAATGTGAGCAAACAAATTAAGAAGAGTTTGGAGGCAACTGAGATGTGGTTCTTGAGAAGAATGTTGTGAATACCTTGGATTGCCAGAATAACTAGCAATGATTGCCTGGAAATGGCTGATCAAAAGTAGAACACTATATACAACAATGAGAAGGAGACAAAAGTTCTTTGGTCATGTGATGGGAAAAGGGGCACTGGAAAATATTGTGATGACTGAAAAGATCACTGGTAGAGGAGG